ATGGAAGAAATAATCCCACCCTCTATATCTATCTATCATCTAAGACATTTAGGATTTTGCTGCAAACACTGAAGGTGCCAAGCTTTAGGAAGTACTGTCTGCTCTTTCACTTCATGTGGAAACCTTCCCAGCTGGATCTTGGTAGAATGTAAATCATTTAAAATCAGATTTTTTCCAGTGATATAAATAGCATTGGCATTAACTGTATTCTAAAGAAAAACATACTGTAGCATAAAACAGATTAGAATAGAATAGAAAATCCCTTTATTGTCCCACAAAGGGGAAATTGTGGCAATACTGTATTAAAGTATAGACACTAATTTAACTAAATGTACATTTTAGATTTCCTAACAGTTCAGACATATTTTAGAATGCATATGTTTATTACCCAGAAATCATGTTCATGTTGAACAGTAACACTGTCCTCCAGCCACTGGTCTCCCTTGTTTCCCGTTTTAGTCCACTTCAGATATTCTAACCCGTTACCTTCAGCAAGACTTTTCCTGTAAATCAGAAAAAGTTTAAAAAAAAATATGTGGCAATTAACAAACTTTCATTTTGATGCTAATGTTCCTCACACCTGTCACTGATGTAGATGCTAAGGGTCCCAACATGGCTGCCATACATGTGGTACCAAAATTTAATGCAGTGATCTTTTGAGGATGGCAGGACCACACCACTGACAAGGTACGACATGTCTCCCCACTCACCCACTGAGCTGTCAACATATATGTAGTGACCTGAGGAAGAAATGGCAAGGTGTATCAAATTTTCCATGACATAATAAGACTAGAAATGCAATTATTTAAGATCTGGCCAAAGTAAACTAAGATCGGTGCACCTACGATCTTGCAAATATATTATAAAAAAAATATTTTATGCAATCAAGTACATAACATCATATTACCGTATGAAGAGTTGGTAGTGTGGTCAACAGTTGGTCCAGTATTGGGGTTTGGGGAGTCTCCCGTTCCGAGGAGCCAATCTCCCTGGTCAACTCCCCCACCCACATTGCTCCAGTGGCAGAAGGAGCTCTCAAAGTCACAGAAACTATGATTCATGCATTCTGCATTTGTGAGTTTTATGTCGTCAAAGGCCATATCTCCCTCGATGGTCGGGCCGGCTTTCACACCTTCCACCACAATCTAAAAATATATACAACATGTCCCTATTTTCAGAGTCAATGTTTCTATAAAGAGTTTTC